TCAAGCTCAATGCGGTCCAGAACCGACAGGCCCAATAAACACTGGTAGTAAAGGTCATAGCACTCGTGATACACAAACCCGCGGTACCAGCTGAGACGTAGCCTGATAGCGCAAGGAGAGTAGTGGTCAACACAGCCAACCCACCGAGCCCATCAAAGTTCAACAAGAGCCATCGATTCGTCATCCAGAAATTGTACCACATCTGTTACAGCAACTGTCAGCGTCAACGTACAGTAAGATCAAAATTTTGAGTCTACTTGGTAGTAACGTCGATCTTGTCGTGTAGTCGTCCAAAAAGCGCTGTTCAGCAGAGAAGGCCCGAACCGAATAACAATACCTTCGAGCAACTCGCTAAAGCCAGAGAAGATAGGCGACCGGGAATTAGACTCCATACGACGAAGATCTCTGCCAGTCTTCAGGTACCCGAGAGCTAGCAGGCGGTAGAAGAAACCTATGACCACAGCAGGGATAAGGAAAATCGGGAAAAAAACACTAGGAAGTCAATGTATGAGCACATGATTTGTCAAGACGCGAGCAGTGACCTACACGACGGTGATGATCGCAGCCGCAAACGTCGCCAACGAAGAGTTGACAGCTGATAAGGAGCCCGCGAGATTGGTGTCAATGGTTTCAATATCCTAGAGACCACCATGCGTGAGTTGACGATCCAAAATTACAGTGCATTCAAGCTCACTTTTCCGAACCTATTGAGCATGCGGCCAGCCGGAGTGACATCATGCCAACGCATCGTGGCGCACACGACACACCCGTCAAGAGCTTGTGGAAAATAGACCTCGACGCCTTCAACGCTCCGTTATACTGAATAGCAGTCGACAACACGCTGAACTGCCGCGGTGGCGAACCCGATCATCGCATATAAACACCAACGTAGAATAGCGGGTGTTCGTGAACGTCAGGCAACGTGAGGGGCTGATGCCAGAGGCATTAACATGGAAGTAGTTGTTCGAGTAGTGTCGATGGTCATGGTAGGGTACGTAGCCGTTTCATTCAGCGCCTCATTCTCGGTCAACACAGAGGGTGCCATGATGTGTGGACCTAGCTCGGCACCATCGCCGTATGCTTGACCCCATTGCTGCAACAAACATGAGATGCCGATAATGAAAAAGAAAGCATCGACTAACCCGAACCCAGAGCTTCTCAATAACACCTAAGCTCTGCGAACAAGCAATGAGAATCCCAAGCATAAACCACGTCCGGTACGACCTGCCCATAGTCAGCTATGCAACACTTGAAATGTAACAAAAGCCTTACGATGCCTTCAGATACGCATTATAAAATCGACCACTTGACGCCTCCAGCCTCCCGGTGCTCATCCCTTGATAAGCTTTCGAGGCTTTTTCTTTGAATCTGCAGACGTCTCTGCCTCAGCGTTGTCCTCCTGCGCTTCAACGGGGATCTCGATGCCGCTATAGGTTCCTCTTTGACTCTGCAGTGGAATCATGCGCAATGTGGTCCAGAATTCCCTGAGCACGGAGATCTTTAACAGTACCCTTGGCATCGATGCAACCATCCAGCATGCGGACGAGGTAATAAGTGCCAGGGAGCACGAGCTCTACGTGGTGCGTGACTAAGATCTGCGAACGGATTTAACACCGCGTTGTATCATTGTGAATGACAGACATACCACAGTACGGTTTGCCATCAACGGTTCCGCGGAAGAGTCTCTCGTACAAGAACCGGGCAGTATGACTGTCCTATTCACAATGTAAGCACTGAGGACGACATATGAACAGACAGATAGTCGACACTCACCACAGCACTCAATGGATCATCCAACATGATATACTTCGTACGAGCATACACGGCACGAGCAGGGCAACACTGAAGACCATGAGCATCCCGAACAGAGATCTAAAAAGCCCATGCCTCACCGAGCCTTTTGGCCACCCGACAAGCTGACACCCCTAGAGCCAATCTCAGTATCATCTCCATCCTCCAAGATATTCAAGTCCGGCCGCAGCGCACAACACTCGACGACATCGTTGTACCTCTCCTCGTCAAAAGGTTGCCCAAATAGAATGTTGTCTTTGATAGACTGATGGCGCAGCCACGGTGATTGAGCAGCATATGAGATTGAGTGCATCAATCCAGTTCTCGTCGATTTTCGATGTATTCTTCGAAATGGTCAATTTCCCGCTGATGGTGGTCATCTCGCCCAACAGTGCCATCTAACAAAGCGTCATGTGAAACTTAGGTTGAATGGAAGGAACTTTACTCACGAGCAAAGCAGTTTTGCCACTCGCTGTCGGTCCAGTAATCACAGACAGCTCACCCTCGGGAAACCGTATCGAATATCCTTGAGTATGAATCTATGATCTTCGGGCGACGACCGGATGGACGCAACCTCGGAATCAACGGCAGTCGCACTTTCATCGCTCGAACTAACACGGGAGAAGCTTTTGCCCTTCGCTTTTGGAGTTTCCTCAGGTTTCTCGGGAACCTCATTCCACTTGAAGGTTCCATTCTCAATTGAAAGAGTGTCATCCTCTCCATCAACATGGGGTGCGCGAGCCTTCTTGATGGAAGACACCTGATCATCGACTTCGTCCTCCTCGAGATATGTCTCAATACGTTTCAGCGCAACGCCAGTCTGAAAGCCTGCCATCAGATACAACTCTCCAAAAATGAATGATAATATCATACCTGTAGGATTTGAACAATCCAAGCTGGAATAACACCCAACGGTTGACTGACGCCCGCATAAGCCACAGAACGAGATAAATGTATCATTCACGACTTACCGAATCATGCTGAACAGTGCGATGGACTGAAAAACCTGCATCAGTAATCTCACTTGATTTCCAACAATCACCGAACTAACCGTGAATGCAACCGACACAGTCAACTGGTTTCCTTGGTACACGAAAGTGAAGAACGATATGAGCGACACCAAAATGGGAGCGGAAGTCCAGATCACGGTAAACATCACTGAGTTGATTCGAGCTAGTGAAATGACGCGTCAGTCGACTTCCAAAAAAACGACGATGCGGTTATTTACCTTTCACCATCCAATTCATCTCCACCCCTCGTGCTTCCATGGTCCGTTTAATCCAGCGGTCCTCCCATGCGAAGAACTTGATGAATTTGACAGCACTGATGAGCTCGTTAAGGACGGCCATGCGTTTATCTCGCGAAGCAGAGACACCCTTCTGAATGCGAATGCTGCGTTTAGTAACAAAGCTGTTCAGGGGCCAGCCAGCGAGAAGAACGATAAAGCCTGCAAATGCAGATAGACCCAGAAGACTGTAAATAGAAGGTGAGATGCATGAATTGATTGGCACGAGTGGACTTCCTTACTTGTAGAGGAAGGTCGTGGCAATGATAATCTCAAACGGACCTACCAACAACGATAAAATCAACTGTTAGACCAGGAAGGACAAATATAACTGACTTCCGTAGATGAAATATGCGCCAGATACCATCATGGCAATCCTATTTGCATCTACAGCCATTAGATTGACGATCTTTCCAACATCTGCGCCAGCCTTGGGATCATCGGCGGTCGGATTCTCAACAGGCTTGATCCCCGCTTTTTTGTCGGCAGCCTCCTTGGCTTTGTCCTGGTCGATAATGCCTGAGTAGTCCTGACGCTTGAGAGCTTTGTCGTAGATGGCAGCCATCAACTCTACACGCATCCTTGTCGCTGCTCGCCGTCCGAACCATAGGTGTTGGACATCGGATTCTGCCTGATGCGACATAAATGAGAGCTCCAAAGTGATGACTTGGATATACCTTTAGCAATGTGCACAGGAAGGCCAACAAAGCGTAGATATATGCTTGAGACCGATTCTCCGCGGTAGGTTCGTCAATAGCATCAAGGATACGCCTGAGAATCGTTGAGCCCGGTAGCAAATTAATATAATAGAAAGCAGCACTCACTTTAAAAAGAATGGTGAGGCATATGTGAATATGACACTGACATAAGTCAGGCAGAAATCCAGTCTGATTTGAGCGTTGAGTGACATTTTCAGTAAAAGAGAGCAAAGGGCCCACAAAAGATCCTTCGAGTTGGCAGCCCACAGACGGCGAAGGAGAGAAGAACGACTGACATTTGACATTAACAAGGGGCCATGTCATAGGATGATATATACGTACATGACGGTACTGAACTTGATGAACACCGGACGAGATTGTTGGGTAGGACTGAGATTCCAAACGTCATCCTCGGCCATGGTCATGTTCGAGCCACGAGTGATGAGCGGGTAGACCCATGAGAATGTGATCCACTCCCACATAGAAGCATAATCTTCAGGCGAGTGCTTGACATACTATGACGCGAGTAAGGGAATCAGGAAATAGGCAATTAAAGAGACAACGACGCACGATATCTTCCTTCTTTATGCGGTCGCTGGGCAGCTCAAAGGGCATATTTCCTACGACGGTCATGACCACGAGAATGGCGATGAGATTGAAAATGAGGCCCAAGAATGGGAGCTGTGGAGGTAATGGGACACCAAGAACCTCGTGATCATACAAAGTACCGCCAAGCAGGATAATGCCAAAGGCGAAGTGTAGCACAAAGAGGGTAAAAAGATCGTAGTGGATGGTTGGCTTAGGCCAGAAGGTGGACTTGCAGGAAGCATATATCCAAGTGGCAGCGATGAGAAGTTGGGCAATACCGGTCCAAATATAGGCCTTATTGGTGATGATGTTGTATGCACCGGCAGCAGACCAAAGGAGAGCCTGAATCAAAGCGACAAATGAGAGTAGTACGGTGCGCCATAAAGGAACAGTATTGTCGACGACAACGTCGCCTGTTTTTTCCCCTTGATTATCTAGAGCTTCGGCCTCGCGCAAGGTCAAAAAACTGCGGAAGGGCGATTTAATAGCGCTTGCAAGTGGACGAGCGAACGCAGGAACCCGGAGTATGGAGAATAGACACAGCGCTAAGATGAGCGCAGCGGGTACGATCGCACCAAGGGAGGCGCGTACACAAGCATCTGATAAATCAAGTGCATTGCTGCCTGGACACAATTGAATCCCCATTGCTCTCCAGGTAAGATTTTGGACGTGCTATCCCGTATGGCTTTGAAGTTTAAGCCAAGTCGGGACTAAAGCACAAAAATACGGCGCCAAGTGTGGCTCGGTAAAGTGGTAGTAGCTGTAGTGAGTAAACTGAATTCTAGACACGTTGAATGTTGAACACGCTCGCTTATTATGGGGCCTTACGGGGCTTTAGGATTTTGCCGCAGTCATGCCGCATTGACCCTGACCAACCGAGTGTGCTGTATTATGCCTACGTCATCCATAAAGGTCTTCAATATGATTTAGATAGCGATATGACATTGTCAATTCCTGATAGTAGTACTTCATTGGTGCGGCAGTGATGCGATAGGATACAGCAAGCTGCGGCAGTTCTGAGATTGGGTGCGGCAGAGTGCGGCAATTCTGAGATTGGGTCGCAGTGCTACAGTAGCGCAGTTTGGGCGCGACAGTGGCTGTGCAGCCAGTTGCACCGAGACTCAACGCCTCGATGCCTCTGCTTTGCACCGCCACATATCTCCTGCAAGAACAGATATCAGGGCTTCAAGGTACGTGTTCCATATGTATGTGGCCTACTGTCTTGCCACTCTAATGTCATCAAGCGAATCATTGACCCCAGGCTGTTTGGCATTTTCGCGTGAGTAAATTCGCACAATGTGTCCATCAGGCCAGACGTCTCACTCAATAGCGCCACTAGTATGTACCTGGAGCTTGGTTTTAGGTGTCTGGGGTTCATGGATAGCAGAGGAGTATGGAGATAATACCTGAGGGTGGGTGGCTCGTCAATCATGCGCGTGGTTGAACTACCGACCTGAGCAGGAATTTGCGCATTTTTACGAGACTGATCTCGCGTCTCATTTGGCTGTGGATGCTTGGCCAGAGCAGGCTGACATTGTTAAAGCACGGTGCCCTACGAGCCACCGGCCCGCCTGTCCTGGGGATCAGTGTACAAGATAAGGGTAAAAGGTATGGTACGAATAGTCGAGAACGTCCGCGTTTATGTTTATGGCGTTGGTGGCCGGATATGGCACACTCCCTCCAAACTCTTTCCATTACACCTTCCTACGATCATCGCTCAGACCACTCACTACCCTCCACCTCCTTCGTGCCTCTCTCCCTCTCTCTCCAATTATCACACTCTCCACAAGAATAAAGATTATCAGCTCAAAGAGGGATAAAAATACATACAGAATTATCGCCTGACGAGGCTTGGTGTCTGATCGATAGAACCTCACCTAGCGCGACAGCGGCTGCCGTGGTTGGTCAACATTTGGAATTTTACACCCGCCACATACACACGCGTTGCATCTCCCCACCATTATATTCCTGA